AGACGGACAGAAAATATGGCATCTGTGCAGGACCGCCCTTTCCTGAAACCGCATTGGGGCTCCGCAAGCCTCTCCTTAGCGTGCCTGGCAAGGCGATGTTGAATAATCCTTGCCAGGACCTTTCCCGGCACACTGAGGAATGAGATGTCCCTGTAGTTGTTACAGTCTGTGCGGTCCCCCTTCTTAATAAGGGGGCTCACCAGGGCATCCTTCCAATCCTGCGGATCCCATCCAGTGGTCCACACTGTTGTTATGATGTCATATAGGGCAGTCTGTGCACAAATGCCACCCATCCCACAGCATTTCGCTTGAGAGATCATCTCTGCCCGCTGGCTTTTCCTGGTCTCAGACTCCGGATCGCCTTCAGTACTTCCTCAACAGATGGCACCTCAGCCAGCAACTCACAGGGGGTGACTTCTTCCAATATTTGAGGCACCGCAGCCTCAGCAGGGTCATCCTCACTTTGTGCCACGATGTTTTCCGGGCTGAGGGATTTTCCCTCCCCCAGGACCTCACAGAAATGATCAGCAAATCTGCAAACCTGTTCCTGGGGGTCGAAGAATGGATCACCGTTTTTTCCCCTGATGGTAATAGGATGTGGCGCTGCAGGTTACTTTTTTGATGGAGTTAAATAGAGATTTGTGATCACGGGCCACTGAGGCAGACTCCATCTCCTCAGCAACCCGCGACCACCACCCATCCTTGCAGCGCCTCACGGCTCTCCGAACCTTCCGAGCGAAGGCTGCGGTAAGCCTCCTCATTCTCTGACGTGGGATTCTGTAGCCGATCACAGTGGGCCTGTCGCTTTTCTCAACCATCCTGAACACCTCCTCTGTCAGCAAGGGTCTCTGGGGAGGTCTGGACCGCGGACCCAAAGCAGCCATTGCAGCTGCATGAGTCACAGTCCTAAACCTCGCCCATTTACCCTCGACATCAGGAGGAGTCGGGGACGATGCCAACCCCAGCCGCAAGCGATGATGAAATTCTCGCTTGCAACTTTCATCAGATAACTGAGACCAGGCCACTTTAGGTTGGAATGAGGTCCTGGGTGTACACGCACCACCGGAGTGGAAAAATGGCAGCCGCATCTTAAAGATGACTAGTCGAATGGTCAGAGGGCAGATCAGCTCCACGGTAGGTCCTGGTGTCAAGGACATGGGCTCGCATCCGCTGGTCCGTCACTATGTAGTCCAGCAGATGTTCTTGCTTGGACCCGGCATGCATCCATTATGTTGTGTGGATGCGCCGATGCCGGAACAGCGTGTTGGTAATTACAAGCCCATGGGCTGCACAAAAATCTAGCAGCCTCCTACCGTTGTTATTGAGCTGATCTGGCCCATGCCCTCCAATCACTCCAGACCAGGTGCCAGCATCATGACCAACTCGGGCATTGAAGTCACCCAACAAGATGACTCTATCCCAAGGGGCCACTTTAGCCAGCACCTGTGACAGGAGGTCATAGAAGGCATCAGACTCATCGGCTTGGCCTGCATCCCTCCACGGATGTTCGTCTTCGGTGGGGGCATAAGTAACCACGACCACCATTCCTCGCCTCCGGTTGATGGGAAGGCAAGCCCAAAGTAGCCTGGGGCTTACAGCTTCCCACACCTCACCGCCATGCTCCCATGCCCCCTTCATTCTTTTGTTCAAAAGAAGAGCCACACCCTGTTGTTTGGCAGTCTGCTGCCCCGAGTAGAGGACTGTCCACCCCTCATGGTGGCAGGAACCAGAACCGGTCCACCGGACCTCCTGAATGCCGCATAGATCCACGCGGTACCGGTCCAGCTCCCGATAGAGGAGTGGCAGCCTCTCCTCCGCAGTGAGCGTTCGAACATTCCACGTGGCCACCCGTAGTGGCTTTTCGTTGTTTCTGGAGGAGCCCCGAGGGTCGATATTCAATCTCCTGGCTCCGCCAAATGGGGTTTGGTCAGGAGACATCATAGACGCCTGGCCCCCCAGGGCCTCCGGCACAAGCTTATTATTTATATACTTAATTCGCGGTTTAGTAGTAATTAATTGAAGGTGGAGGGGTTACCAGCCCCTCGCACCCATCCGGAGCCCCCGTTTAGCCACTGTGGTAGACACATATGCCATGAGGGGAGGAGTCAATCGAAATTGGACCTCCCGCCACAGCATTGTCCACGACAGAGTTGCCCGTCCGGCACCGCGAGGAGGTAGGAGACATCGCCAGGGGTCAGGATCGAACCCACGACCTACCGTACACCAGGCGAGGCAGTCACCATCTCACCCACTCACTCAGACATCGTTAGGGGTCAGGATCGAACCCATGACCTCCCGTACACCAGGCGAGGCAGTCAACATCTCACCCACTCACTCAGACATCGCCAGGGGTCAGGATGGAACCCACGACCTCCCGTACACCAGACGAGGTAGTCAACATCTCACCCACTCAATCAGACATCGTCAGGGGTCAGGATCGAACCCACGACCTCCTGTGTACCAGGCGAGGGAGTCAACATCTCACCCACTCACTCAGACATCGCCAGGGGTCAGGATCGAACCCACTACCTCCTGTGCACCAAGCGAGGTAGTCAACATCTCACCCACTCACTCAGACATGGCCAGGGGTCAGGATCGAACCCACGACCTCCTGCACACCAGGCGAGGTAGTCAACATCTCACCCACTCACTCAGACATCGTCAGGGTCAGGATCAAACCCACGACCTCCCGTACACCAGGCGAGGTAGTCAACATCTCACCCACTCACTCAGACATCGTCAGGGGTCAGGATCGAACCTACGACCTCCTGCGCACCAAGCGAGGTAGTCAACATCTCACCCAATCAATCAGACATCGTCAGGGGCCAGGATCGAACCCACGACCTCCTGTACACCGGGCGAGGTAGTCAACATCTCACCCACTCAGTCAGACATCGTCAGGGGTCAGGATCGAACCCACGACCTCCTGCCCACCAAGCGAGGTAGTCAACATCTCACCCACTCACTCAGACATCGTCAGGATCAGGATCAAACCCACGACCTCCCGTACACCAGGCGAGGTAGTCAACATCTCACCCACTCACTCAGACATCGTCAGGGGTCAGGATCGAACCTACGACCTCCTGCGCACCAAGCGAGGTAGTCAACATCTCACCCAATCAATCAGACATCGTCAGGGGCCAGGATCGAACCCACGACCTCCTGTACACCGGGCGAGGTAGTCAACATCTCACCCACTCAGTCAGACATCGTCAGGGGTCAGGATCGAACCCACGACCTCCTGCGCACCAAGCGAGGTAGTCAACATCTCACCCACTCACGCAGACATCGCCAGGGGTCAGGATCGAACCCACTACCTCCTGTGCACCAAGCGAGGTAGTCAACATCTCACCCACTCACTCAGACATGGCCAGGGGTCAGGATCGAACCCACGACCTCCTGCACACCAGGCGAGGTAGTCAACATCTCACCCACTCACTCAGACATCGTCAGGGTCGGGATCAAACCCACGACCTCCCGTACACCAGGCGAGGTAGTCAACATCTCACCCACTCAGTCAGACATCGTCAGGGGTCAGGATCGAACCTACGACCTCCTGCGCACCAAGCGAGGTAGTCAACATCTCACCCAATCAATCAGACATCGTCAGGGGTCAGGATCGAACCTACGACCTCCTGCGCACCAAGCGAGGTAGTCAACATCTCACCCAATCAATCAGACATCGTCATGGGCCAGGATCGAACCCACGACCTCCTGTACACCGGGCGAGGTAGTCAACATCTCACCCACTCAGACATCGTCAGGGGTCAGGATCGAACCCACGACCTCCTGCGCACCAAGCGAGGTAGTCAACATCTCACCCACTCAGTCAGACATCGTCAGGGGTCAGGATCGAACCCACGACCTCCTGCGCACCAAGCGAGGTAGTCAACATCTCACCCACTCAGTCAGACATCGTCAGGGGTCAGGATCGAACCCACGACCTCCTGCGCACCAAGCGAGGTAGTCAACATCTCACCCACTCAATCAGACATCGTCAGGGGCCAGGATCGAACCCACGACCTCCTGTACACCGGGCGAGGTAGTCAACATCTCACCCACTCAGTCAGACATCGTCAGGGGTCAGGATCGAACCCACGACCTCCTGCACACCAGGCGAGGTAGTCAACATCTCACCCACTCACTCAGACATCGCCAGGGGTCAGGATGGAACCCACGACCTCCTGCACACCAGGCGAGGTAGTCAACATCTCACTAGCAACTGTGGAGCAGTGGGGGTGAGGGGGTGAGGGGGGTGAGGGGGGTGAGGGGGGTGAGGGGGGTGAGGGGGTGTCTCACCCTCGCGTGCGGTGAGCATGTGGTGAGTGGTGAGCATGTGGAAGGCCTCGTAGCAATGGGGGGGAGGGGGGTGAGGGGGGTGAGGGGGGTGAGGGGGGTGAGGGGGGTGAGCGGGTGTCTCACCCTCGCGTGCGGTGAGCATGTGGTGAGTGGTGAGCATGTGGAAGGCCTCGTAGCAGTGGGGGTGAGGGGGGTGAGGGGGTGTCTCACCCTCGCGTGCGGTGAGCATGTGGTGAGTGGTGAGCATGTGGAAGGCCTCGTAGCAGTGGGGGTGAGCGGGTGTCTCACCCTCGCGTGCGGTGAGCATGTGGTGAGTGGTGAGCATGTGGAAGGCCTCGTAGCAGTGGGGGTGAGCGGGTGTCTCACCCTCGCGTGCGGTGAGCATGTGGTGATTGGTGAGCATGTGGAAGGCCTCGTAGCAGTGGGGGTGAGCGGGTGCCTCACCCTCGCGTGCGGTGAGCATGTGGTGAGTGGTGAGCATGTGGAAGGCCTCGTAGCAGTGGGGGTGAGCGGGTGTCTCACCCTCGCGTGCGGTGAGCATGTGGTGAGTGGTGAGCATGTGGAAGGCCTCGTAGCAGTGGGGGTGAGCGGGTGTCTCACCCTCGCGTGCGGTGAGCATGTGGTGAGTGGTGAGCATGTGGAAGGCCTCGTAGCAGTTGGGGTGAGCGGGTGTCTCACCCTCACGTGCGGTGAGCATGTGGTGAGTGGTGAGCATGTGGAAGGCCTCGTAGCAGTGGGGGTGAGCGGGTGTCTCACCCTCACGTGCGGTGAGCATGTGGTGAGTGGTGAGCATGTGGAAGGCCTCGTAGCAGTGGGGGTGAGCGGGTGTCTCACCCTCGCGTGCGGTAAGCATGTGGTGAGTGGTGAGCATGTGGAAGGCCTCGTAGCAGTGGGGGTGAGCGGGTGTCTCACCCTCGCGTGCGGTGAGCATGTTGTGAGTGGTGAGCATGTGGAAGGCCTCGTAGCAGTGGGGGTGAGCGGGTGTCTCACCCTCGCGTGCGGTGAGCATGTGGTGAGTGGTGAGCATGTGGAAGGCCTCGTAGCAGTGGGGGTGAGCGGGTGTCTCACCCTCGCGTGCGGTGAGCATGTGGTGAGTGGTGAGCATGTGGAAGGCCTCGTAGCAGTGGGGGTGAGGGGGGTGTCTCACCCTCACGTGCGGTGAGCATGTGGTGAGTGGTGAGCATGTGGAAGGCCTCGTAGCAGTGGGGGTGAGCGGGTGTCTCACCCTCACGTGCGGTGAGCATGTGGTGAGTGGTGAGCATGTGGAAGGCCTCGTAGCAGTGGGGGTGAGCGGGTGTCTCACCCTCACGTGCGGTGAGCATGTGGTGAGTGGTGAGCATGTGGAAGGCCTCGTAGCAGTGGGGGTGAGCGGGTGTCTCACCCTCACGTGCGGTGAGCATGTGGTGAGTGGTGAGCATGTGGAAGGCCTCGTAGCAGTGGCGGTGAGCGGGTGTCTCACCCTCGCGTGCGGTGAGCATGTGGTGAGTGGTGAGCATGTGGAAGGCCTCGTAGCAGTGGGGGGTGAGCGGGTGTCTCACCCTCGCGTGCGGTGAGCATGTGGTGAGTGGTGAGCATGTGGAAGGCCTCGTAGCAGTGGGGGTGAGCGGGTGTCTCACCCTCGCGTGCGGTGAGCATGTGGTGAGTGGTGAGCATGTGGAAGGCCTCGTAGCAGTGGGGGTGAGCGGGTGTCTCACCCTCGCGTGCGGTGAGCATGTGGTGAGTGGTGAGCATGTGGAAGGCCTCGTAGCAGTGGGGGTGAGGGGGGTGTCTCACCCTCGCGTGCGGTGAGCATGTGGTGAGTGGTGAGCATGTGGAAGGCCTCGTAGCAGTGGGGGTGAGCGGGTGTCTCACCCTCACGTGCGGTGAGCATGTGGTGAGTGGTGAGCATGTGGAAGGCCTCGTAGCAGTGGGGGTGAGCGGGTGTCTCACCCTCGCGTGCGGTGAGCATGTGGTGAGTGGTGAGCATGTGGAAGGCCTCGTAGCAGTGGGGGTGAGCGGGTGCCTCACCCTCGCGTGCGGTGAGCATGTGGTGAGTGGTGAGCATGTGGAAGGCCTCGTAGCAGTGGGGGTGAGCGGGTGTCTCACCCTCGCGTGCGGTGAGCATGTGGTGAGTGGTGAGCATGTGGAAGGCCTCGTAGCAGTGGGGGTGAGCGGGTGCCTCACCCTCGCGTGCGGTGAGCATGTGGTGAGTGGTGAGCATGTGGAAGGCCTCGTAGCAGTGGGGGTGAGCGGGTGTCTCACCCTCGCGTGCGGTGAGCATGTGGTGAGTGGTGAGCATGTGGAAGGCCTCGTAGCAGTGGGGGTGAGCGGGTGCCTCACCCTCGCGTGCGGTGAGCATGTGGTGAGTGGTGAGCATGTGGAAGGCCTCGTAGCAGTGGGGGTGAGCGGGTGTCTCACCCTCGCGTGCGGTGAGCATGTGGTGAGTGGTGAGCATGTGGAAGGCCTCGTAGCAGTGGGGGTGAGCGGGTGCCTCACCCTCGCGTGCGGTGAGCATGTGGTGAGTGGTGAGCATGTGGAAGGCCTCGTAGCAGTGGGGGTGAGCGGGTGTCTCACCCTCGCGTGCGGTGAGCATGTGGTGAGTGGTGAGCATGTGGAAGGCCTCGTAGCAGTGGGGGTGAGCGGGTGCCTCACCCTCGCGTGCGGTGAGCATGTGGTGAGTGGTGAGCATGTGGAAGGCCTCGTAGCAGTGGGGGTGAGCGGGTGCCTCACCCTCGCGTGCGGTGAGCATGTGGTGAGTGGTGAGAATGTGGAAGGCCTCGTAGCAGTGGGGGTGAGCGGGTGTCTCACCCTCGCGTGCGGTGAGCATGTGGTGAGTGGTGAGCATGTGGAAGGCCTCGTAGCAGTGGGGGTGAGCGGGTGCCTCACCCTCGCGTGCGGTGAGCATGTGGTGAGTGGTGAGCATGTGGAAGGCCTCGTAGCAGTGGGGGTGAGCGGGTGTCTCACCCTCGCGTGCGGTGAGCATGTGGTGAGTGGTGAGCATGTGGAAGGCCTCGTAGCAGTGGGGGTGAGCGGGTGTCTCACCCTCGCGTGCGGTGAGCATGTGGTGAGTGGTGAGCATGTGGAAGGCCTCGTAGCAGTGGGGGTGAGCAGGGTGTCTCACCCTCGCGTGCGGTGAGCATGTGGTGAGTGGTGAGCATGTGGAAGGCCTCGTAGCAGTGGGGGTGAGCGGGTGTCCTCACCCTCGCGTGCGGTGAGCATGTGGTGAGTGGTGAGCATGTGGAAGGCCTCGTAGCAGTGGGGGTGAGCGGGTGTCTCACCCTCGCGTGCGGTGAGCATGTGGTGAGTGGTGAGCATGTGGAAGGCCTCGTAGCAGTGGGGGTGAGCGGGTGTCCTCACCCTCGCGTGCGGTGAGCATGTGGTGAGTGGTGAGCATGTGGAAGGCCTCGTAGCAGTGGGGGTGAGCGGGTGTCTCACCCTCGCGTGCGGTGAGCATGTGGTGAGTGGTGAGCATGTGGAAGGCCTCGTAGCAGTGGGGGTGAGCGGGTGTCCTCACCCTCGCGTGCGGTGAGCATGTGGTGAGTGGTGAGCATGTGGAAGGCCTCGTAGCAGTGGGGGTGAGCGGGTGTCTCACCCTCGCGTGCGGTGAGCATGTGGTGAGTGGTGAGCATGTGGAAGGCCTCGTAGCAGTGGGGGTGAGCGGGTGTCTCACCCTCGCGTGCGGTGAGCATGTGGTGAGTGGTGAGCATGTGGAAGGCCTCGTAGCAGTGGGGGTGAGGGGGGTGTCTCACCCTCACGTGCGGTGAGCATGTGGTGAGTGGTGAGCATGTGGAAGGCCTCGTAGCAGTGGGGGTGAGCGGGTGTCTCACCCTCACGTGCGGTGAGCATGTGGTGAGTGGTGAGCATGTGGAAGGCCTCGTAGCAGTGGGGGTGAGCGGGTGTCTCACCCTCGCGTGCGGTGAGCATGTGGTGAGTGGTGAGCATGTGGAAGGCCTCGTAGCAGTATGCGTCGAGGCGCAGGGCCTCCCGGTAACTCTCAGCGGCGAGGGCGCGGTTCTCCATCGCCTCGAGCACGCAGCCACGCAGCAGAGCTATGCTGCTCTCGATCTAACGGGCAGGAGGGGGGAGGAGGAGGAGTAGGAGGTGGTGGTGGTGGTGGGGGGAGGGAGGAGGTGGGGGTGGAGGAGGAGGTGGTGTGGGGAGGGAGGGAGGAGGTGGGGGTGGTGGAGGAGGAGGTGGAGGAGGAGGTGGTGGGTGGGAGAGAGGGAGGTGGTGGAGGAGGAGGTGGTGGTGGTGGTTGTGGAGGAGGAGGTGGTGGAGGAGGAGGTGGTGGAGGAGGAGAAGGTGGTGGTGGTGGGGGGAGGGAGGAGGAGGTGGTGGTGGTGGAGGAGGTGGTGGTGGAGGTATGGAGGGAGGGAAGGAGGGAGGAGGAGGTGGTGGTGGTGGGGGGTTGAGATGAGGAGGACAAGCGTGGGTCCACGTCAATTCAACAACAACAACAACAAACCCTTCACGATGTACCGGTGACGTACACACGCAGAACCGGATGGGGTCTGCCCCGTGGGAGGTGGCGGTGGTGAGCGTGGCGGTGGCGAGCGGTGAGCGTGGTGAGCGGTGAGCGTGGTGAGCGGTGAGCGTGGTAAGCGGTGAGCGTGACGGTGGTGAGTGGTGAGCGTGGTGAGCGGTGAGCGTAGTGAGCGGTGAGCGTGGTGAGCGGTGAGCGTGGTGAGCGGTGAGTGGTGAGCGTGGTGAGAGCGGTGAGCGTGGTGAGTGGTGAGCGTGGTGAGCGTGGTGAGTGGTGAGCGTGGTGAGTGGTGAGCGTGGCTCACCGGCGCACAGCCACGGAGCTGCAGTGCCGTGTGAGAGAGGGGGAGGAAGATCGCCGTGGATAGAACAGGCGGTCCGTGGGGTGACGACACGGGGTGACACGGCACGGGGTGACGACACGGGGTGACACAGGGTGACACGGCACGGGGTGACACGGGGTGACACAGTGTGACGACACGGGGTGACACGGCACGGGGTGACACGGGGTGTGACGACAGGAGGTGTGAGTCTCAGTCTGAGTCGTGGTACTCACGGCGTGTGGAGCGATACCCAGCGGTGTGTTGAGTCTCAGTCTGAGTCGTGGTACTCACGGGATACGCAGGGTGGTGTGAGTCTCAGTCTGAGTCGTGGTACTCACGGGATACGCAGGGTGGTGTGAGTCTCAGTCTGAGTCGTGGTACTCACGGGATACCCAGGGTGGTGTGAGTCTCAGTCTGAGTCGTGGTACTCACGGGATACCCAGCGGGGTGTGAGTCTCAGTCTGAGTCGTGGTACTCACGGCGTGAGGAGCGATACCCAGCGGGGTGTGAGTCTCAGTCTGAGTCGTGGTACTCACGGGATACCCAGCGGGGTGTGAGTCTCAGTCTGAGTCGTGGTACTCACGGGATACCCAGCGGGGTGTGAGTCTCAGTCTGAGTCGTGGTACTCACGGGATACCCAGCGGGGTGTGAGACTCAGTCTGAGTCGTGGTACTCACGGGATACCCAGGGTGGTGTGAGTCTCAGTCTGAGTCGTGGTACTCACGGGATACCCAGCGGGGTGTGAACCTCAGTCTGAGTCGTGGTACTCACGGGATACCCAGGGTGGTGTGAGTCTCAGTCTGAGTCGTGGTACTCACGGGATACCCAGCGGGGTGTGAGTCTCAGTCTGAGTCGTGGTACTCACGGGATACCCAGCGGGGTGTGAACCTCAGTCTGAGTCGTGGTACTCACGGGATACCCAGGGTGGTGTGAGTCTCAGTCTGAGTCGTGGTACTCACGGGATACCCAGCGGGGTGTGAGTCTCAGTCTGAGTCGTGGTACTCACGGCGTGAGGAGCGATACCCAGCGGGGTGTGAGTCTCATCCTGAGTCGTGGTACTCACGGGATACCCAGGGTGGTGTGAGTCTCAGTCTGAGTCGTGGTACTCACGGGATACCCAGGGTGGTGTGAGTCTCAGTCTGAGTCGTGGTACTCACGGCGTGAGGAGCGATACCCAGCGGGGTGTGAGTCTCAGTCTGAGTCGTGGTACTCACGGGATACCCAGGGTGGTGTGAGTCTCATCCTGAGTCGTGGTACTCACGGCGTGTGGAGCGATACCCAGCGGGGTGTGAGTCTCAGTCTGAGTCGTGGTACTCACGGGATACCCAGGGTGGTGTGAGTCTCAGTCTGAGTCGTGGTACTCACGGGATACCCAGCGGGGTGTGAGTCTCAGTCTGAGTCGTGGTACTCACGGGATACCCAGCGGGGTGTGAGTCTCAGTCTGAGTCGTGGTACTCACGGGATACCCAGGGTGGTGTGAGTCTCAGTCTGAGTCGTGGTACTCACGGGATACCCAGCGGGGTGTGAACCTCAGTCTGAGTCGTGGTACTCACGGGATACCCAGGGTGGTGTGAGTCTCAGTCTGAGTCGTGGTACTCACGGGATACCCAGCGGGGTGTGAGTCTCAGTCTGAGTCGTGGTACTCACGGGATACCCAGCGGGGTGTGAACCTCAGTCTGAGTCGTGGTACTCACGGGATACCCAGGGTGGTGTGAGTCTCAGTCTGAGTCGTGGTACTCACGGGATACCCAGCGGGGTGTGAGTCTCAGTCTGAGTCGTGGTACTCACGGCGTGAGGAGCGATACCCAGCGGGGTGTGAGTCTCATCCTGAGTCGTGGTACTCACGGGATACCCAGGGTGGTGTGAGTCTCAGTCTGAGTCGTGGTACTCACGGGATACCCAGGGTGGTGTGAGTCTCAGTCTGAGTCGTGGTACTCACGGCGTGAGGAGCGATACCCAGCGGGGTGTGAGTCTCAGTCTGAGTCGTGGTACTCACGGGATACCCAGGGTGGTGTGAGTCTCAGTCTGAGTCGTGGTACTCACGGCGTGTGGAGGGATACCCAGCGGGGTGTGAGTCTCAGTCTGAGTCGTGGTACTCACGGGATACCCAGGGTGGTGTGAGTCTCAGTCTGAGTCGTGGTACTCACGGGATACCCAGGGTGGTGTGAGTCTCAGCCTGAGTCGTGGTACTCACGGCGTGTGGAGGGATACCAAGCGGGATGTGAGTCTCGGCATCGCAAGGTCCGGGGGACGGCTGCAGGAGACGTTCACTGAGTGGTTCCTCCTTCTCCAGCACGTCCAGCGCCAGCTGATACTCCTTGCTGGTGAACTGGCGTGTGTAGTGTGTTGTGTGTGTGTGTAGTGTGTGTGAGTGTGTGTTGTGTGTGTGTTGTGTGTGTGTGCGTGTGTGTGCGTGTGTGTGCGTGTTGTGTGTGTTGTGTGTGCGTGTGTGTGCGTGTTGTGTGTGTTGTGTGTGCGTGTGTGTGCGTGTGTGTGCGTGTGTGTGCGTGTGTGTGCATGTTGTGTGTGTTGTGTGTGTGTGCGTGTTGTGTGCGTGTGTGTGCGTGTTGTGTGTGTGTGTGTTGTGTGTGTGTGCGTGTTGTGTGTGTGTGTGCGAGTGTGCGCGTGTTGTGTGCGTGTGTGTGCGTGTTGTGTGTGTGTGTGCGTGTGTGCGCGTGTTGTGTGTGTTGTGTGTGTTGTGTGTGTGCGTGTGTGTGCGTGTTGTGTGTGTGCGTGTTGTGTGTGTGTGTAGTGTGTGTGTACAGGTGTTTGTGTTGTGTGTGTGTGCGTGTGTGTGCGTGTTGTGTGTGTGTGCGTGTTGTGTGCGTGTGTGTGCGTGTTGTGTGTGTGTTGTGTGTGTGTGCGTGTTGTGTGTGTGTGTGCGAGTGTGCGCGTGTGTGTGCGTGTTGTGTGTGTGTGTGTGCGTGTTGTGTGTGTTGTGTGTGTTGTGTGTGTTGTGTGTGTGCGTGTGTGTGCGTGTTGTGTGTGTTGTGTGTGGTGTGTGTGGTGTGTGTGTACAGGTGTGTGCGTGTTGTGTGTGCGTGTTGTGTGTGTGCTTGTTGTGTGTGTACAGGTGTTGTGTGTGTGTGTACAGGTGTTTGTGTGTGCGGGGAGCGGTGGTGCAACAGTCAACGCCACGTTGCGTCTTCGAAGCCGCCGACCCGGGTTCGATTCCCGCTCACGGCCACCAATGACAAGAGTAACGGTCATCTGAACCGGTCCGGGGCCTCCCTTAGGTCGACTCAGCCTCAACTGAGTACCTGGTGCGGTGTGTAAAATCATCGCCACTGGGGGAGACAA